CTCCAGAATAAAGCGTTGCACATGGATCCGCACGTCTCGCGTCTCGTCAGCCCCATAACAGATATGGGGGCAGAAATGTATATTTATATAATTTCATATAGTTAATCAATATAACGCGAAGACTGACGAATATTATGAATGAATCTTCTTCTTTGTGTGAATCTTCAGGTGTTTCTTCAGGACTGATGCTTAATGAAACTATTCACCACACTGATCACAGTTAAATGCTCTTTCTTCAGAATGAGAAGGAAGATGTGATTTCAGAGCGGAAAAATGTTTGCGTTTGCAGCACACACTTATTATCAAAATAAAGTAGGCCTATTGTCTTATGTTGGTATGGATTATGATTTGGTTACCTGTCTAAATATTTCTCATGTAGGCTCACCTAATCTGAATTTGGGGAACAAGTTAAGTGATTTCTCAAGTAACGCTAACTTGGATTGTACTAGAGGTCTGCGCGGGACTATTTTTTCAGTCCCGCTCCCGCAAGGATCTATTCCGCACCCACCCGCTCCCGCTATATATTCACTCTTTGTTCACCCGCTGTCCGCTTAGAATAATTTTCTTCCCGACCCTACCGTTCCCGCTAAATTTAGATCTCGTTCACAGAATCTCACATTTAAATTTCCGCTACTGAAAGAAAGAGAGATAAGCTAACAAATAAAAGTGTAGTCTTCACAAAATTCTGTTATTTTATTTGTCTTTTTATTTGTCTTGTCAAGAGTCTTGAATTTATTGACTTTGACTTGAATTTATATGAAATATCTTAATATTTTTAATATTAAGAATATTAAGAATAATTGATAACTGAACCTTTCAAAATCATTTCGAAACATTGCCAAATAAATATGTACTGTAAACATTAACCATTACCACAGTAAAGCCAACAGTATCTTCATTTGATAACTTTTGGAAAAGCCTTGAGATTTTCTAAGTTGTGTTTTTGTGATTATATATCAGATCAGAATATTAAAAAAAAGAAGAGAAATTTAAAAAGATTTAGACAAAGAGAATTAAAGATGATTCATTACACAAACTGTCTGAAATGGTATCTGTTAATGATATAAGCCACAACACCCCCTTCTATCACTTTCAGTAATGTTGATAATGCTGATAAACCTCCTGGACCCACAAAATACCCAGTGATCATTCCACCAGCACAAACACTCACGATTTCCAACAGGTTGACATTTGTCAGATATTTTTTTGTGTATATCCCAATTCCCCAGCTCAGATTTTTCCATATCTTTGTCCAAGTGAGACCTAAAGCAGCCCCTGCCACTGCTGCTAAGACCCCCCCAGCACAACCATACAGAAATGCTTTCCAAGAACCTTCATTCACCATATTAACACAACCCAATGCAATCACAATGACAGCACTGACTACATACAAATATTCTTTGTGTGACTGATATTTTCTCTTGAACATTTGTGTAGTGTAGCAGCTGTTCTGATTTTCAGACACCATTCGTTGGATCTTCATCAGGAGTTTGGTGACCTGCTCTCTGTCGTTCAGATCTTTGTTGTTCAGTAAGTGAAATCTCCCTCCAAACTCTGGTATTAGTTTGGACAGCTCTGCATTTTCTCTTGCAAGTTGAAACTCGTCTGCATGTGTGAAGAGGACAAAAGTGTATTTCATGGCGTTCTCGCCAAACATCTGCTTATATAATGACATGATATCTGCATGTTGTCGGGCATCTAAACAGGCAACCAGAAGGATGGCATGGATTCCTGAAGAGCACATGTTCAATCCTATCTTTAACTCAACATTCAGATCAATGTCATTTGAATTAACAAAGTTTGGAGTGTCAATTACTGTAACTTTTATGTTTGACACTTCAGCCGTGTGTTTTTGGCATCTCTTAGTGATTGAGTCCAGGCTCTGCTCAGATTCGAACTTTTTTTCTCCCAGTATAGTGTTTCCAGTAGCGCTCACTCCTGAACCGGTTTTACCGATCAGCAAAAGATGAAGTTCAGCATGCGCCATCACTGAAAAATGCAAACAATATATTTATATTCTTCTATATACAGTTAAGGCCACATGTTATGAGCTCTTTGAAAAGTCAATCGGCAAAGTATATTGCAGTGAATTTAGTTTTTGCCATAATTATGCTGACGGTATAGTGTATAGTATAGTTCTTATGTGCCCTTTGAAACCTGTTCACATTTCTGGGTTTGGAACATGCAGGGTTCTTGCAGTAAACTAGCAAAAACATACTTAACACATCACATGTGCTCCAACTACAACTTTTATATTTACAAGACTTTCCAAAAAAAATAAAAATTATCATACAGCAGTGAGGACAGACAAAGAAGTCAAATTTACTTGTTTGTTTTCTGGCAATGCCAGGGTAATATAACACATCGCATTGTGTGCACATAATTTAAAATACAAAAACATTTGCTATATTTATTAGTTAATTATTCATCTACACAGTCTGTGAAAGTGATCCATATTTATTTATGGTAAGAAGAATCTTACCGTTTGGCAATCAGTTGTCGGTCCAAAGAGGTTAAAATTTGCACCTAATTGTGGTTTTGCGATCACAGCACAGACCAAAAGGACACTGACATTGCAAATGGTTTACAGCAACTTAAAAAACAAACAAAAAAACGCCTTTGCTGGGTCCCGCCCCACTTCTAACTCCACCTTGCATTGTTATTGTTTAGGTGAAGATTATAAAACAGTATGTAAAGTAATAAAGTAGTATAGATGGTATAAAGTCAACAAAGAACAATGCTGCGGTGTAATGATGAAAATGAGTTTAAAAGCAAACAACTTAAGTAACTGTGTTCATATTAGAGTATGAACCTACATTTAGCCTACATAAAAATGAAATTATGCAAGTGAAATAGTGGTTGCTTTGTGACTGCTTTCTGGCACAAGTTAAGAAACCACCCCAAAAGATAATTCAGAGCATGTGATGTACTGGAAAAAGAGAACAATCAGCTTCTTTAATCAAATACTTGCAGCACCAGTCAGACAAGTTTGGAATTGTGAGTCAAGTGAACTCATGTGTTTTTCGCACGTTACACACACACACACACACACACAGTAAAAATAAATAAATAAATACGGTGAAATACCGGCAGCTGTGGATGTCAGAACGTTACCATAAAAAATATGGTAGCAAAATTTTAGGTTTTGCAGTCTTAACTTAAATTTAGAATTAAAAAAAAAAACATTTCATTAACTGATATAATGATAATATACCAACCCACTGAAGTACTAATATCTGGTTTTTACCTTTGTAATAGACTGATAACCACCAAAAATAGGTGGGGATGAAAATGTCACATGATGAACCAAAACTCATCACAAGCAGCTTTTCCACAAGCTGAGGAGGGAAATACTTATATATAGAAGGTGCACAGTGTCATTCAATGAAATTCTAAACACCATCATGGTAACACAATGTAACAGGGCGAACGAGACAAGAGACGTGCAGATCCATTTGCAAGCTTTATTAGACAGAGACGTGGTCAATAACACAGGCAGGGTCGAAACACCAGCAAACAGGTATGGCACGGGCAAAACACAAGAGTAGTAAAAGGACAGATGTGATCAGACTCCGGCGAACTATATCCAACAGGGCAAGGCAAAGAGAGATAATCCAGGTACGCAGCAATAGTCCAGGCAGGGGCAAACAGAGTCCAAACGGTAAAACAATTGATAATCCAAGGTACACAGGCTGGAATCAGGAGACGGGTAATAACAAGACTAGACTAGACTATGAAAACACAAAATGGCTC